AGAATGCGCCTTTTTTTTTTTTTTTTTGACATCTCAAAGCCTGATCTAGTTTTGTTTACTGTTTCAACTGGGAGTTACAAGTAGACTGGTGTTGCTGTTGGTGATGATGCTGTATTTGTGGTGTTTTCAATTTATTGAAAGCAAGACAACTTTTTGCAAATGGTGATATGTTGCAAAAGACTGGACATCTTGTAGAAAAAGCTGTGTAGAAAAAACATAAAATTGTGGATTTTTTTCCCAATAGCTTATTCTCTGCTAACATTTTAAAACACTTTATCTTAACTAGAAGTTGAAAAGCTGCGGTAGGAACAGGTAGCTTTGCTTATTGAAAACTTGGATAAAATAAAATGTTGAGTACAACTATATGGGCTGTATGTAATAGCCAGAATGTGGATGTGTTTGAAGTGGTTTTCTAACATAGTCTTTGAATGTTCGTATGGGACTATAACCATACAGTTAGATCAACCTGCAGTAGGTAGCATTTAGTATTTCTTCTTCCGTTTAACAGCCTAGTTCGTATAGAGCATGAGGCAATAACATTTGTTAGACTCAGCTGGTCCCAGAAGGCCATTTGAATCCCCAGGCCATGTGTTTTTGAAGCAAGGAGCCCTGGGGAAGCTGGTGTAGGCACAGGTGTGTCACTGGATGGAGGCTCGCCTGGCTCTGTCTGCACTTTCTAGCTTGGATTCAACCCTAGGCTTTTCCAGGTATGAGCGGAGTGGCAACTTCAGGTAAGCAGAGGGAGAGCAATCGCCATGGAACTGAAGAAGGTGATAGCCCCCCACTGCGTTGTTTCCTATTGTTCAAAGAAAACTTGCTCGTGTAGAGGTAGTTTTTGGAGTATTTGGAGTTGGTTAAGGTTTAGTGCTGTGCCCAAGTGAATGAGTCTTTCCCGTGAATTGGGACCTGTGAAACAGCCAGCCAGGTAGTTCAGCTTGGCACTTAGCAGTTACGTTTCTTCCCTGTTCTCTTCATTTTTGTATTCTGCTATTTAGACATTTCATTACTGTAATTTATCTCAGCAGCTCATTACTCTGGATATTAACAAATTGACTGCAATGAATTTTAATTCTATATATTTTTTTAATTTGACATTGTAAAATTTTTAATTAAAACATATCTGTGCTCACTAGATGGCAGCAGATTCCTTAACTGTAAGAATGAATCAAAAACTTTCTGTAGATACAATACGTGTTTGGTACCTTGAAGTGCAAATAAACTTTAATGCTGTATATATTTTAGGATTAAAATATTAGTCAATCAGATGTGGAGCTGGATGCAAGTTGCAAGGTAACATTATAGCTCCTCTGAAGAAGGCTTAAGACGTTTAACAATACTTTCTCATGAACTGTTTCAAGATTGAATGTGGCAAATAAATGATGTTGAGGCTTGGATTTGATCCTGTTTTTGTTTTGATTAAACATTTTCAGTTTACGGCTATGTTACCTCCATATTACAGACAATGTAAAAAGTAAATGGAGAACAAAATATATGTGAGTCATTGCAAGTGGAGTGCAACACTAGAATAGCTGATGTTATTTCTCTGAAAATATGTAAATGCAATTTCAGAGTTATCTTCCAGTGAAATATTTTCCTTTGAGAAATGACTTTCTGTTTTGCTGAGGAAAAGAGAAATGTGTTTTGTGATGTGTGTAGGCATTTTAAGCTGATTTTTTAAAAGTTGTTCAAAATGGTATTTTAATTTTTGATATGTACCTGAGTTTAATGTTGCGTTTCTGTAGTTCTTGCTCTTCTCCATTTGGCAGTTGAGAGGACAAGCAAGTCTTGGTCTGAGGTTTTCTACTTTGAATAACAGGTCTACATTTTGCTAAATAAACTTTTCAGTTGGTGGGTAACAGAGGTCCAGTGAAGTTTACTGTATCTCCACTAGAGTCCCGGTGTTAACGTCAATAAGACTGTTTAAAAAACAAAAAAAAAACCCTATATACTGAAATAACTTTTTACAAAATGAAATATGACAGTAAAGGAAAAGCTCATATGTTCAGGAACATGCTTCATGGTAATCAGTCTGGTGATGGTTTTCTTCAAAGATTAGGGCCCTGTAAACTCAGGCTTTTTTTCCTGTACTTCAGAGGAGGAGAGGAGGATGAACTTACCTGCTTGATGAAAATTAAAGGAGTGTAAAGGCGCAGCATCTAGTGAAATTTATTTCTGTTTGAAAAGACTATATCAGAAGGAAAATTAGAAATTGTAAGGGGAATATGCAGTCACCCTCATGCTTAAAGCAGCTGGATAGGGTTGCCAAAACCTGTCTAATAATAATGTGAGGAAATGGTAGCTTTCAGAGAAGTATTGCCTGGGAGCTTTTGTAATGCTGATGTTTAACAGTCGGACCCCGTTTTCCAGGTACTTCAGGAAGCCCAGTCAGTAGGATATGGCCCAGGAAATTGTATTCAGGGCTTGAAATGATGGCTCAGCCACCAGTCTTCGAAGCTGATATGTGCTGATAATTTCCACTACTACTTATAAGACTGACTTTAGTGTTTTAAGGTTTGTGTTTTTATCACTTATTCAAGGCTAGATCTTAATTGCCTACATCTAAACTAACATCAGAGCTCTGAAGTTCTTTTGTAATCTGAGAAGTTAAAATATAATAAAGGCCATATTTATTTGTGTATGGAGCAGGATAATTAGCTTCTTGCAGTTGGATACCTGTTTTCCATCAGTAGAAACCCTTATTGACCTATCTGTTCCATTTTCATTAAAATTCCATCCTTTTGAAAGATGGAATGCATTTCTTAGGACCGGTATATTTAAGTAAAACACTACGAGTATACAGAAAAAGTGCAATAGCAGTTTTTTTGACAAAGTAAAGGTATTTGCATATTTCATCTTAATTACACAAATGTTTTATAATCAGTGATTTGTTCTACTTAATCTTTTCTCACTCTGTTGAAATAGTTAGTGTCAAGCCTGTTTGTAATATGTTTGCCAAAGTAGGCAGTGTTATAACACTTTTTTTGTTAGAGCAGGAAGGAATGGCTCATAACTCACAAGAGGCAGATCCCCGAGTGAGTCATTTAGGTCATTCCCACTTGTGTGGAAAAAATATTACATCATTGCCCTGTACTCAGTGTTCTATTTATACTATGCCAGAATTTTAAGTACATTTTGCTTTTTTTAGATGCAGTAAACAGTATTCCGGGGTTGTCTTAAAGTAAAGTTACTGCTAGGCCATAGAAGGAGGAGTATTACTTAGCCAAGTATTTACAAAGAGTCCAGAGCCAGAGGGAACGTGCTGTCGGCTAATTCAGGCTTGCAAGGGGAAGACTTGTTTAGTGGAAAGAGTAGATCTGTTTTTTCAGGGGGGCGGGGTGGGGTGGTGCTTAAACTCTGCTGTATTCTTAAGCTTGCAGTTTTTGATTGAGTTTTTTCCCCTCTTGGTTTTTGGAAATGCTAAAGTGAAGCATAGCTGTGAACATGTATGATGGACAAGTATTGGTGAGAATACCTCCAGTCTAGGTTGCGGTGGTTTCTTATGTTCATGCACAGCTTTCAAAGTCAAGCCTATTTCTTGCATAATCTTATGTTAAGAATAAAGTTCCTCATTCAAATTAGATTTTGTTCTGAGAGTAATTGTGCAGTTGCACCGCTCTGCTCCTATATTTTCTCCAGCTTCGTATCTCGTGATATTAATATCATTGTTTTTTCTCTCTGTTACTCATGTTTTCATCAGATTAAATTGGCCTCTGTGGTTTTATATGAAGCAGACTTCCATACCAGAAATTGTTCATGCAGTCATTATTACTTATTTTTTGCAGATATTCCCTTCATAACTCACTTAAACATTGATGAAGGTAGTGAATCTTTTCTCAGGTTTAGTAAAGCAAAGGTGGCAATTATATTGAAGTTTCTTCTGATATCCTACACAGCTGTAAACTGCCTGACTGCTGAAAATTAAAACAATGTATTCTCTTCTTTTTGTGCTTTTTCTCTATGTGTATTTTTTTTTTAATTTTGTAGTATTTCTGTGGAGGCAGCACACCTCTGAGATACAGCTTTACCGGATCTGTGAATAAAATGAACTATACTGACAACAGTGTGGGGTGTGTGTGCCCAAGGTGGTGTCGTTGTAATTACTGTAGGGTTTTTGCCTGCCTCTGTGGTAGGTATGTTTCTCAATCTGAAAGTTGTTGCAGCAAAGGGTTAGGTGAGTATGAGAGGGGGATTCTGCCAGGGAAGTTAGTTCATTCAGAGAATGGGAGGTCACTGCTTTTTCTTTTTTTTTTTTTTTCCTTTCTTTTCTTTTTTTCTTTCCTCCTCCTCATGACTCTCTGAATTTGTATTTAAGCTCTTCTAGGTATAGTGGAGCAGACTGAGTTTAAGAAGAAAGAGTTGTAAATACCTATGTGTTAATACTGTGTTCATAAAGAAGTGGATTTGGGCAGGGTCAGAACTGCCTTCAGGAACAGAAGTTGAGCTGCAAAATGCAGTAATGGTGGGTTAGAAGGTGGCATATTTGTTTTAGAGTACTAAGGACCTGGAGCTCATGCACATGAGTGATTTACTACAGCTTAATGAGCTTGTGCATGATAGATAGTTCACATGTGCACTTTTAACCCACCTCAAATGTGAGGTAACTCGTTAAGTTACAATAACTGACTCATTTGTCTAAGCTCTGAGAATGTCCATAGGCAGCAGTGACCTCCAACTTCAAATCAAGATCTTTATTCCTTTTGTGTATTGAAGATCCCATGATACTGTTTAAGAATAAGAACAGTAACTCTTTGTGTTCTGGATACGTTTCTTCAATTATTTATGTTCTCCCAGCAGCTCCAGTTGCATATATTTTCCCCTGTGTTCTATATTATCTGGTAAAAACTAGAAACTTCAGTACATTGCCATGCAAGTAGCTGTTCTGTTTGCAGATGCCAACACATTGCCTTACTTTTAATGGAGAGCTCAGATGTGTAGTTTAATGTTTGTGAAATACTTCAAAATGTTACATTAATGCAGACTATTGCTTTCTGTGAACTCAGGTGACCGGGTCATAGACGTAGGGTCAGAGTGGAGAACTTTCAGCAATGACAAAGCGACAAAAGACCCGTCTCGAGTTGGGGATACCCAGAACCCTTTGCTGAGTGATGGCGACTTGAGTACAATGATTGGCAAGGTAACATTTAAAATACTGAATTCTACTAAGTTTGAGCATTTTTGTCAAGTAATGTTTGTGTGCCCATAGGGAAGCTATTCAAAGAACATATTTACATAGAAGTTTTGTGTAAACTGAACTCTTGCATTCCAGTGAAACTTAGCTAAATGTGACTGTCTCTGGGGGTGGCAGCAAAGGGCTGAATCTTTCGTAAGAGAAAGGTTCATAGTGCTGTGGGACTGCTTGCCACTGTTGATGTACTGTTATAAATAGAAAAGTTGATGCTGCAGACTACTACTTAAAAAAAAAACCCACTTTGTTGACTTAGCATTCTAATATTTGATGTATTTGAGAATTCTGAAATAGTGGATACCTAATTTTGAGGTCTCAATGGCTAGCATTGTCCAGCTTGAGTTAACATTTTTTTTGTGAGAAATTCTATGCAAGGTTAAAATTGGGGGTCTGAAGAGAGGTACATGCATATTCTAACTGTTCTTCCAGCACTAAATCTAGAATTCTTCCATGATGCCAGAGTGCACCAGAAGAAAGTATTTAATGCATATTTTGATTGAAGTACAGTTGTACAATATCCTGCTGATTCTCTTAAGAGAAATAGCAGGACTAATCACATAAATATATTTACTTTAATGAAGTGATGTGACCCGGATAAATATTCATTGTGGTACTTTGTTATATTTTGCACTACAAGATCCCAATTCATAGTTGTGGATTTCTTAAATGTTTCGTGTTGGCTGACCTTTGAAATTTTTGTCTGTTTTCTTCCACGATTACTTAAGTAAACTTAAGTCAAATCAATATATTCAATTGTAGTCTATTTTTTGAAAAATGAAGTGGAGATACTCAACTGCAAGTGATAGTCCTTTTCCTCTTCCAGATATTCACACATGTTAAAACAGGGAAATGGTCTTCAGCCATTGATTGGACACCTATAATATTTTATCATTATCAAAGAGAAACATAATTTGTTTTGAAAAACAGACATGATAATCTTTTCGTAAATGTACAGATCTCCCAAGTTCCTATAAAGAATTAGTAAATCTGCAGTTAATTTACAGATTGGCCATTCTGGCAGCAGATAGGTAGATGCTTACAAAATCATTAGCATCTTTGAATTATGTTAATCCTCCTCTTCTCCATGAATCCTAATGGAAAATGATCCTGCATCTGAATGTTTTAGAAACTTCAAAGTTCAGTTGCAAAATTCTTAATTGACTTTTCAACTCTGTTCTTGTGGACAGGATGAAACTTGGTTATTGCCTCATTTTAGATGAAAGGTTCAGTTATTGATAAATAACTTCTTAAAGGCTTACTGTTCCTTTGTGTCTTGGGGTACGCGAACACTAGGAGTTCTTAGAAGCTTTGTTCCAGTGGTGCTGCTAGGATGAAGAGGCAGACATACCTGAAAATGTTGTGTGAATATAAATAGATGTGCAGCATAATTATCAGCCAAGAGTTTTTCAAAGACGACGACGATTGGTGAATACCCGTATGAAGAAGTAATCTTGAGGCCCAGCTGATGGGGGGGGAAAAAAGTAACTTCCCCTTCAATGGGTTGAGCATATGGATGCTTGTGTTTTGGACGTTGCCAAGCAGCATTGCCCACCAGGTTGCCTTAGAATGCCTTATAGTGGGTTTTGGAATCCCTTTAGGCAGACTAATTTATGCACTGCTCCGCTAAACACTTCATTGCTGAGTAACTTTGTGTAGCAGTGCTTTAGAAGAGTTGTTGAAGTTTCACTGACACCTGAATAGGTCCAGAAAGGGTGTAGTTCTCAGGACTTTGTTTTCTGTCACTGTTTTGGTCAGTAGATACCAGAAATGCACCTTTATAGATAGATGGAGAAATGAACAGCTTGCTGCAGGTTTCCAGAGTTCTCTCATTTTAGTGCTGTGCAAATACAAGACTCGTTCCTGGGAACTGAGTTTGATTCAGTAGGAAGACCTTCTGATCTCTTTCAGACACTTCATGTGAGAAAAGACAAAAGATACACCTCAGCTAGAGGTAGGATTTATATCCAGGTGACCAGTGACTTGAGCTATTAACCCTTTTTCCCTTGAGGTTCAGATCCTAATTTAGAATAAGAGGGATGGCAGCCCCGGTGAGAGAATAAAGGAACATCTGGAATTTGTTTTTCAGTGAAAACTGAAAATTTTCTATTCTGTTTTCCTGAATGGCTTGTCACTGCTTTCCTCTCTGAAACCAGGAGGTACTACTTTAGGACTCCTTTCTGTTGGGAGAAACACGTTCTGTATTTGCTAGCAGCCAAGGAAAGGCTGTTTTGCCTGTGCAAAGGGATTAATTCCTAATTGGTTTTAGTACTTATGGGACCCATCTGTCTGAGGTAGCAAAAGTCTATGTTGGAAGAAAGATTTATTTTGCCTGCAAAGAGGAGGATGAATAGCACGGCTTGCTGTAGCAGAAGTGGCTTACGTTATTCAGGCATATCTGTAGAGTATTGACACAGAACTGTATCTCTCTGAAAGTAGATACTGCATGCTGCAGTTGATCCGATGACAATGTTGGAGGCATCTTGGGAAGTCTGATCTTAGTTGTGACTTGATTGCCAGAATGTCATTGTTCTTTGTAAAATCCTTATGTACAATTCAAGAAAAATAACTGAGCAAGCAGCCTATAGGTCTGCCTTGATCCATAGAACTATTTCCTGTGTAATCTGAAAAAATTTTAATTTTGCTGTAGCTGGAAAAGTTGTATTTTGTGACTCTTTGTAGATGTAAGTTTTTTCTTTTATTATAGTGACTGCAACTGTAAGAGACTATAGGTTGGGTGAACGAGAAAGTGATGTAGTTCTTTGGTATAGAATTCCTGTCCTTTGATTAGGTGCTCCTGAAAGGAAGCTGGGTGTTGTCAGGTTGTGGCCTGGATCTAAAAGTGCTGTATTGATAAGCAGTGATAAGATATCAAGGGCTGAATGAAAAAGTAGAAGGAAGGATCAATCCATAGTCACTTCTAGACTGTATAATGAGGTTCTTGTACAAGCAGCCAGATTGCCTGATCTGTGGGGAATTCCTTCGATATCCTGTATAGAGTCAGTGATGTGGACTGATGCTGATGATACTTCTTCCTTTTGACTATTAAAGGGGATGTATTGGGGTACAAAAGTATTGTTGCCAACGCTGTAAACCTAACCTCCATTGAGCCCTTCCTGATGTCACCACTGTTTACTGGACAGTGTTTTCTGACTCTAGTTATCTTTAAAGCTGCATCCAGAATGATGCAATAAAAAAATTCATAAGAGTTTTTTTTTTTTTTGCTCTGTTTGGAAGCCAAACAGGGGGAACTTGTGCTTTGATGCTTTTCTTGCTGAGATAGTCAAAACATGAGTTAAATGGAGATTTTCATAGAGACCGCAGCCATAAGACGTACCATTGGAAAGTCTGTTGGATCTGAGTTAAAACTCTGTGGCTTCTGGTCCTCCATGTAGAGGGAAAGGGACTCCTAACATGGCTGTCAAGGGTTGAAGCTAGCAAAGCATTGTCCCTCAATTAGTTGAGGTACCCAAAAAAAGAGTGGATGGCACGTTTAAATAGCAAATGCAGGGAAGATTGCTGTGATTTATTTAAGCAGTTGAGATGGTGGAGTATTTTCCAACCCTTTTATAGTTGTGAGCTGTCTATTGGGATGGCTCTTGCAGGGTGCTTGTAGAGATAGTGCTAAAGTCAAGTCCTTCGGCTTATGGTACTTGCTTATAGCTATATTTCTAGCTTGAATATACATAAGCAAGCATTCAGAGGAAAGGTTACTGGCAAGAAAGTAATGAAAATAAAAAAGAAAAAAAAGTAGGGTTACCTCCAGTGCACCCTTCTGCTGTGTTGGTGCCACGATTATTTCTGGGTGGTTTCTTCAAACTTCCTTGCAGAGGAAAGAGTAGAAAAAGCCAAGAGGAGTCTTGGGATCTAGCATCTGTCATAGAAGGCCACTTCAAGGGGCTTACCTAGAGGGAAACGCATGAGACGTTGTTCTGTGCCCGAGTCCTAGACCTGCACAGCCACAACAAAGTGGATGTGCCACAGATGTGGCCCTCAACAGTAGAGGTATTGATTGAGCCCATCTGAAATGGAGTGTAAGTGGAGTCTTTTCTTCGCTATAATGAAGAGGAACAGCGGCTCCACTGTGAGCAAGCAGTAAGTCTTAAGTAGGGAGTGAGCATATTAATGCTGGATGGCCAAAGAACATATATTAAAAGTAAATGTGTGCGAAGGAAAGATCGTAGAATTAGAGGCTGTTTTAAAATAGAAGGGCAATTCACAAGGAGTGTGGTTTGGGAAAGAACAAAGTAGCACTGACTCCGTCTGGGTTGCTAAGAGGAACGAGGTGGTGCCGAAGTATGATCTTATGATTTGACCTTTACGTTCACTGTATCCTGGCCCCTCTTTGTACCACGCGTGGGTATCCTGGTAAGTTGTTGAGTATAACTTAAGAATGTTGTGTGCGTATACTCAGTGTGAATAGCCTCATTAGCGATCTTAGCAAAACAGAACTGTTTTGTAGTATGTTTTTACAGTGACCATGTCAGTTTGTTTAAATGACCAAATCTGTCAATCAGTAATGCAGGTTGGATGCCCATGCCTAACTGAACTGTTACAAGGTGTCAGCAAGGAATAAATGCATGCTGATTCAGGGTGATCTGTGTTTCTACTCATAACTTGGAGTT